CAATATTTTCCTTTTTTTATATACTTCTATGCCAACACCTTTATGGTAATTACCTCCTCCTTTTTCCAAGACTAAATAACAAATATAGGCTTCTGCATGTTATATAAAGTATCTTGTCCGCCTTTGATATTGTTTAGTGTATTGAACACATCCAGTCAGTATTTGATGTATCAGTAAACAATTTTGCAGCCACAAAATACTTGGCACTTTGTAGGTATTGTTTACATAAGGAATTGTTTAACCTTGTTTTCTGATGTTTTCTCTATATCTGCAAAATTGATAATTCATTCATTGGAAGAAGTGGACTTCTATAAATAGAATTTATTTTCTTCTGATTATTTATTTCAGATAGAAAGAGGAATTTATTTAAAATCTTATTTATATTCATAATTTAGACATTGTATTAATGTAATTAAAAATGACATTTCCTTATAGTGAATGACTTACAAGGAATAAGTACAAGACAGGAAGAGGAATGGGAAAATTATGTGAATCTCGAGCCATATGTGATAAATTCGTGTAGAAATTATGCTTTAATTATTTACAACGATTCCCATCTATCCAGCACATTTGCTCAAAATGTGAAGCATCTGTTGTGTAATATTTTCCCATAAAGAACATTTGAATCTCATTTTTACTGTATTCAGTTTTTTGTACTAGAGGGCATATTTATATTGTTTTGATATATTATTTATGTATTTCCTTGATGTATATTTTTATAATATATCTCTTCCATAAACATAGTTTGGTATATATTTATGTAAATGTGTTATCAATGGTTGTTAATCTGCAGATATGAGTCATGTAAAGAATATTACCTATTACATTATTTTAATTACATATTTGAATACCACATTTTCCTGGAACCAAAATATGAAGTTGTATTCTTATATCTGCAGTATCATATAAGACCAAATCTCCACATTATAGATATGATTATAGTTTCTATTAGAGTGTATTATAGAGTCTTTGTTTTTTGAAGGATATACATTATCTCAGTTTATTTATTTTGTTATTTAAAAAGCATAGCTTGTAGAATACTCACCCTGTAGAATCTATATTATTTTTTTTCTTATTCTGTGTGCTAACTTTGTATGAATGAGGAATCTCGTTAGATTTAACATGATTTTGCCATAATTATTGTGTGAATTTTGCCAATACTTTCTTGGACATTAGAACATTTGATGGATGTTTATGTTCATTTGTATAATACACAATCTTAAAAAATACTATTAAGAGAAAATGGTAAAGAATTGAGGAAGAAGAGTTACTTGTACAGTTTTTTTGATTTGATAGTAAGATATAAGTGCCTACCATTTATAGATCTTTAGTATTTTTTATGCATACTCTAGGTTGATTAGAAAAATTTTGTATTCAGTTATATACACACAAAATCCAGGTTGAGTTTTATTTACTATAACCTCAGTATATGTGAAATCTAATGCATACAGGTCATTAATTCACCAGAAAGACTTGTTGATTATTGAAACATTATTATATTTCTTGTTAACCCTAACATCATGAGGCCAGATTTTTCTCTGATGTAATTATTACACAACAGTCTAGTGTTTCTGATATATACATGTAATACTTTATTACATCATAACAGCTATAGCCCGTCACTGAGGGGTACCTGAAATGAATAGTACAATTTTTAGAGGGGTTAAGAAGATGGTAACTGAGGCCCACTGTAGGGGACCATCCTTACCTTGGACCTCAACCCTTGTCTCAACTAATTTTGCGTGGTCTTTTCTCCTCCTGCTTTCCTTTTCCTTTTTCTCTTCATCCCCTCCTGTCCACATTCTAAGCTGTAAGAGCCATGCTGAAAGGATGAGAGGCTAGCTTTGTGTCAGTCCTGAACAACCTCCAGTAGCCATGGGTATAGTATTCCTTTGGTTATGTGAACCCTGAGGAGTACACCATTTCTTTTCTGGGGATCTTCCGTATCTTAGGCCTCAGCCCTCTACTCAACTAATTTTGCATATTCTTTTCTCCCTCCTGCTCTTTCATTTCTATCCCTTCTCCAACCCTTTCTGCTATCTATTTCCTAAGGTGTAAGAGCCGTGCTGAAAGGATAAAAGACTGACTTTGTGCCAGTCCTGAACGGCCTGAGGGAACCATGGGCTCGGTATTCCCTGTTTTAATTGTCCTGAGGGGTGGACTTTATTTCCCCAACATAGTCAAGGCTTCCCTTGGCCAGTAATGAAGACAATACCCATATTTAGGGCAATGAGGTTTGCCCCTTCATCAAACAGCCCCACCAATTCAAATTCTCCCGGTTCCCCGATCCTAGGCTCTCCTTTGACCACAACTCTGAACACTGCAACTACTACCCTATCTTTCATTGCCTTCTAGTACATTATCCACCCAAGTCGAGACAATCTTCAGTAGACATTTCTACTCTCCCAACTTCCACAACACCTTTCCCCCTACAACCTTCATCAAACACTCCATTCTCCCTTATTACTACCTTACAGCCTTATTTTCCGCCTCTCCGTAATAGGACCCCCCGCAACAGCTAAATGGGACCGATTTTCGTGATCCCCTCTACAGCTCACTCAGACACCTCTTTCAACAATGTCTCCAAAAGCAAGTGGGCAGAGTCCCATTCCGTATCCGACCCGATAGTTCCCGTCTTGTTAGTTACATCTGAAACTGAAGTTATAGCATTATCAAATCTAAATTGATCTCTCTGGCAACCCCATTCCTGCAGAACCTTATCCAACCCTTAATACTTGTATCGGAACTGTCTCTATCTCTCCAGCAAATTGGCCAATGGATACCGATTGATCAGATTGAGGCTTACTCGCCTGCCTCAAAGACCGTGATGTGATATCAATACAGTGTAACTTCATTCCTCCAAGAGGTCATCGAAAGAACATGACCAAAATTACTTCCATTTCATATCTACAATGGTGGACAATCGCTCCCTGTTCGACCATACCAACCTCCTCTCCGTCAATGTCATAACTGTTGGCGTTTTGGACATCCTGCCAAACACTGCCGCTCCACAGCCCATGTTCGAACTGCGGCGGCCCCCTAATTGTATTTTATAGAAGTTGCCCCACCTACAAGTTTGAGTCTGAGGTGGCAACTCTCTGATATAAACTTGGTCTCACTCTACGTGAAGCCAGACAGGAAGCACGCCGACGAGGTTTCTCTCACTCCCTGTTCCAGTAGTGTCGCTCTCTCTGCCCCCCCCCTCCTCCCTAAGATGCTTCTACATACTTCCCCACTTCAACTTCAAATTCATTTGCTACTCAAAATCCAGACACTCCAATCTCAACTACAGCCCCAACACCCCCTCTCCCTCCCCGCACCATCCGCAGCAGACAGACTAAACGTTCTACATGAACTTCTACCGCACATACCTCCACCTACCTCTGCCTTTACTCCTCCGATACCAGTCTCCTCTTTCCCCCTCATAAGAAAACCTTTCTCTCACAAAACTTTCCAACCAACTCCACTGCAGAAACTTAAAGATATTCAAAACTATCTGCTCGAACCCCAAAATGACGTCGAAACCCCTTACCCACCATCTAATTCCACAACTCCCGCTCCCACACTCAAAATGACTGCCGATATCCACCCTCCTCCTACTCACATTCCCCCTACACCCCTTCCTCCTACTCCCTCCCAACACATCCCACCCCCCTCAGATATCTATCCTCTTCCTATTCATATCCCCCCTACACCCTCCCAACACAACGCATCCCCCTCAGCTCCAACTAAACCTACATTAACCCTCTCTCCATCTCTTTTCTTCTCACTCCCTCCTGGATACACACGTGAATCCCTTATGTCACATCTATGCCCCTCCCCAGATCTTCCACCTCCTGATACCCCTCCTGATACTACACCCCCCTCTAATTCCTTATCTCACCCCTTCAAATTCTTCAAAACGCACCGTAACCATTATCACTCGTATATCAACTAAGTAACAACTCGCCTACATTGGAATATTCGACGTTTCCGTTCTCACAGACCTGACCTTCGTCATATCCTTTTTTCTTATGATTCCCAGTCCAATTCCAGAGGTGTGCCGTTTTTTTTTTTTTTTATAATTCCCCCTTACAACCCCGTACTCTAACAATACCCTACTTTTCCAAAAATGCCTCCAAATACAAGCGGGCAGTCTCCTTCTGCAGCTGTCCTGATTGTTTACCCCTTGTTACAGTTACATCTGAGTACCAAACCCATGCATTATATTTCCTGGTTGACCTCTCTGGTAAACTTATTCCTGCTCAACCCCACTGTGCACGCTTTCATAAATTTTCTCTATAAACTAGCTGTCCCTCAGTCCCTTCTTCCTACCTTTAACTCCTCTCCACGCCCACCTACTCCTTTCTCTGTCCAGATGAATGCACTCCTCTCCCATTCACCCTTTCCACACCACCGACCCTTACCTTTTCTACCCATAAATACCTACCTTATACCAGTATATGCTCCTGTTTTCCCAAAATCAGCTCAGTCATTTTTCTTACCTTCCCACTCCCCAAGGCTCACATTTTGGTCTCTGGTAATCTATCCTTCCCATACTTTCAACTTTCCACTTACATCTGAATCCAGTGTCTTTACAGTATTATTGTATGCAATCCTTCACAATTTTCAGTCTAAAAACATTAACTCTTATTTAGTCTCTACAGCCCATCAACCCTCCTGCCCGCAAGATTCAGGACCAACTATTTCACCTATCCATACAACACAAAACTGTCAGTTTTTGCTGGATACCCAGTCACATCGGAATCCCTGACAATGAACAGGCAGACACACTAGCATACTCTGCTACCTTGTTCACATCCCATCAACCCAGATTTCCACATATATCAGCTTTACTAACATCGCATTAAAACCTTCCTCTTCACCCGCTGGCAGTCTTTCTAGTTTAGCCTTACCACTAATAAACTACATAACATTAAATCTTCCATCTCTCCTACCATGGACTTCAGTAATAAGACATATCGTGGAGTTACTATAAGTTACATTTCTGAGGTCATGTGAAACAAATCTGAAATATTACAAGAAAACGACGGCTGGGTAGATTGTGTGTACTTGGACTTTAAAAGGCTTTTGATAAGGTGTCTCACAAAAGACTAATATAAAAATTAGAGCACATCCACATGGATGAAAGACTTTCTTCATGAAAGACAGATGAACACTGTAATTAGAGGGAAACATTCCACATAGCGACGAGTAACCAGCAGAGTGCCTCAAGGATCGATGTTGGCACCGATTATTTTCGTCAATGATATAGTCAAACATAAGCCCAGGTAGTTATCTGAATATGTTTGCAGGTGACACGAACATACAAAAATAGATAACAGACGACGTCTCATGCTAATGCCTCCAAAGTGACAGAACATTTATTCACGTGGAGTTGTATATGGAAAATGGAATTCAATACCAATAAATGCCACGAGTCAGATTCGGAGAAAATAGAACTCACCCACTATTCCAATATAAATTAGGAGACAATATTAAACACAGCTGACGGGGAAAAGGATTTTGGGGTAATCATAAATAGAAACCTAAACCCAAATGATCATATAATTGAATAGGTCCACGAAATGCTAGGACTGCTTGCCAACATGAAAAGGACATTCGTGTATGCGGACGAAGATATGGTAAAGAAGATCATCATATCAATCACAAGAGCAAGTCTTTGAGTACGGTGTAGTGGTATGGAGTCCACACTTAAAAAAAAGATATTAACAAAGTCAAAAAAGTTCAAAGAGCGTCCACAAGATGGGCACCTACTCTAAGAGATATGAGTTACGAAGATAAACTACAGAAATTAGGACTTACTACTTTGGAAGAAAGAAGGAAAAGGTGGGCCATGATTTGCTGTTAAACTGTATTACAGGAAAAGTGAAGATAGAGAAAGACTACTCTTTAATCTTGGACACAAGAAGGAGGGGGGAATACAACAAAAAATTAAAATTAAAAAGAGGTGATAAAGATGTCACAAAATTTAGTTTCCCAAACAGAATCATTGAAGCATGGAACGACAATTTACATATAGCAGACGTGACTACCTGAGTTTAGCTCTTCTCCCATACTGAAACAACTAGGTAAGAACACACACACACACACACACACACACACACACACACACACACACACACACACACACACACCACACACACACACACACACACACACACATATATATATTATATATATTATATATATATATATATATATATATATATATATATATATAAAACATATACATGTATATATATATATATATATATATATATATTATATATATATATATATATATATATATTATATATATATATATATATATATATATATATATATATATATATATTATATATATATATATATATATATATAAGTATGCATGTATGTATGTATAAACACGCATACTCACAAAGTGTAAGAGTTTTGAATGGAAATCTTCCACACCATTGTTGATCCCAAAGAATCTTTGGTCGATCCCGATCTGCACTACCGCCATCTATCTTCCGAATTCGGAACTAGAATCCAATGTGCCTCATGAGAGATGTCTTTCTTGCGAATGTAAACAAACGACAGAAAACGTGACCATACCACGAAAACTGTAAACTTTGCAAAACAAAAGTTATTTAGTCTAAAACCCTGTAAAAGAAGAAAGAAGAAGAAGAAAAGTTATTTAAGAATAACTGAATGTAAGTATGATTTTATGTGTATCGAGATTACTTTGTTTTGATAATTATAGAGAAATAATTTCTCAAAACAGTTCCCATCAAACTGCTCATGACATAGAAGTTTGAGTTAAGCTAACAAGATTGTACTGAAGGTTCTAGGTAATTTCTGTGTTGTTTTTCCAATGAGGTTGACCTGCCTAGTACTAGCTATGCTGCATCCTGACCTGTTGTCAGGTTGGTGGTAAAGTAATTATCTTGAATGGGACCTCATCCAGTGATGTGGTAGTCTGTGCATGCATACTGACAACGACCAACAAACCCCTACACAGTATTCTCCAAAGAACCAATGGCAATGCTATTTAAGGCAGCTGCACTACATACAGAGGAAAGTATGATAGAATTATTAACTAATGTTCGTACACAGGTTGTGCTTTAATTGAAATTCAAAGATTGCCTCTCTAAGAGTCCACAAACCTCGTTACCCCAAACCATCTCAAATGTAAACAAAAGACTGAGTTGGTGTGAGCTTTCTGAAAAGTATGGCAAAATACCCCTATGGAAGGGGGCCCAGGGGCCCCCCCTTATGGAAATACCCCTAGGGAAGGGGGTTAGGAAGGTATGCTTTGTTTATTGGCAAAATACCCTACAGGAAAGGGGCAAGGAAATACCCTCTAGAGGGTATATCGCTCTTGGTAGCAATTACCTTGTCACGCATAACAAGGTGAGCACAATTTTTCCTTGGTGGTATTGGAGCCAGAGATCCCCAACAACCCTCCTCTCAAGCAGTGGCACAGTCACGGCAACTTAGATTATTGAATTGATTTCATGACGGGGGAGTTGGTGCATCTGTACTGTAAAGAGCTACGTCAAATATTTTCATATCTAATATTGTTTTTATGTGATTTTTATGACAAAGATTAAAAACTAAATTAAGGATTAATCATGTTACATTATTGTGTAGAGCATTTTTCTGCAAATTATCTGGTATAATTCTGTTTCACATAGCCATATGGTACAAGATAACCTTTGCCAGTAATAGAATAGAATGACAGAAAATAAGGTATAGTTTCAGTTTCCCACAGCCATGTAGTAGAAGGTAAAATTTGCCTGAAATGGACAGAATGACAAAAAAAAAAAGAAACTTCATCAATGATATGATGATTAGAACGTGTACAGTACGTTATACTTTGGTTTACATTTCTAGGAAAATGTAAAGGGTTTTTAATAAGTGATAGTAGAAATAATCTGTATAGGAAAAAAAAGAAAAGAAAGAAAGAATCGACACAGAATGTCCACAGAGTTTGAGTGGGGGTCTGGGGGCAGATCCCCTGATAGGGAAGTATGGCAATTGACGAGGTTTGGGGAGCAAAGCTCCCAGGTTAGGAAGATTTTTGGTTCATACAGCAATGTTAGTAGATCCCAAGGAGTTGCTAGAATAGTAGGGACTAAGTCTCAGAGAGGTGTGGTCATGGTCACTTCTTAAACAGTTAACAATACTTTCATATATATAATGTGCAATGGAAAATGTAAAGTTTGAAGGCTATGTGAAACAAAAGTTGCTGGTGATTTAATAAATGTTGCTAATTAACCTGAAGCAATTTTCAATAATGAGCTCTTTTCATATGATTATATTAGCTGTATTCAATTCATACCCACTTTAAACTTGCTGTGGTCTGTTAGGGGACACTAAAAGCCCCGAGTCCAGCATGAGAATGGTGCAGTGTCAAGTAATTGCAGCTGCCTCCATACTTTCAGTGCATTGGTAAAAGCCAACAAACCGTCATACTTATCCTGGCAAAGTAAAGCTTTTTTTGTTGCTTTAGCTGACGACTTGTATAGGAGTACCACAATCTCTTTGCTGCTATAATATATATGGTGGAAGTTCATATGCTTTTGATGTAGCATCAGACCATTTAAAGCATATGAACTTTATATGATTTTAGAATTGTTCATCATCTACTATCTTGTTTAAGAAAAAAATGAGATATGGTTTTAATGAATAATATGATATTAATAAGAATCATTTTTAGTATTATGATGATAGTAATGGTAAACTCAAATATCTTGTTAATATATTAATTGTACTTAATTTTCCTAAAGTTAAGGATAATAATAAGTGATCAAATATAAGAATATAGGTAACAATATTGTAATGAATCAAAAATATTTTTCAGAGAAAATATTTCACATGTTATATATTCCTCAATTGTATTTAGTGTTTGTTTTATTTATGATGTAATCATTTTCTCAGATATTTGAAGATGGAGATTGGGACTTCAAAAATCTATAATGATTTACCCAGTGTCATTTGTAAGCGTTCATCATCCTTGATGGATCTTCCAGCACAAAAGAATGCCGAGGAACTTTCCAAAAAAAGGGAATTTAAAGACTTGATACAGTCACTCCTCCCAGAAGGTGATAAGGATGAGATTGATACACAGGTAAGAGTGTCATTTCAAATTTTGTTTGATGTGCTATAGAAAATGCTGTATTTGTCATCCTATATTTTGAGTGTACTTAAGTTAAAAATGGATTGTCTCACAGGATTAGTTATCTAGAGGGAAAACTCATTCAAATTGACATTTGTAGTATTTGTTGTTAGTTATCAGAGTTTCATTTACCTTTCGTATAATACGGTTAATTTTGTAGGGTTGCGCTTCTTCAGAATGTAAATATTTTTTGTGTAAAGAATAAAAGAAAAATAATAAATAATATATTGAAATCATATATCTCTAATGCTGCTTATTTAACTTCTCAGTAGCTTTGTTACAATAATTAATTTTTGACATATATGCTTTATGCAGTAAAAATTGCTAGACCTTACATTTTTAAATGTTAGCAATGTCTTTACTTGTTTTAAGAGGTAGCTGCTGAAGGGTTGTTTGTTTATATAGGTCATTGATAGGAATACTTTCTAGTAAATTTGCAGTTTACAACATTTTACTTCTCTTCACATTTTTTTTTCTTCTTCTTCTTTTTTGCTGTTAAGCATTCTGCTGGTGTCCCAAGTGAATAATAAAAAAAAAATCTTTTTATTCTCCCTTTCTTACTGTGGTTTTTTCTACTTAGTCTGTAATCTACTGCATCTCTGTTTGTTTTTTCAAGTGATTATTTTTCCCTTCTAGGACAGGAAAGTCCTCAATGATACTTGTGAAGTAGATTTATAATGTGTCCTTTAATTCAACTTTAAGTATAGTAAATAATTATTTTTTTCTTTTTGTTTCAGTTACGAAAAGGGTTTTTACTTACACAGAAGAGGCAAAGAAAAATTCCTGAGTCAGGAAAGAAAAAAATTGGTAAAGCTAATGGCATGCAACACCGTGGAAAGAAACGTTTGTCTGGTCGAGAAAGAAGAGAATTAGGCCTACACAAGATAGACAAGAACAATAAAACATTTGAAATGTTTTTGCCCATTAATGATATGTGGAAAAGTTATTCTAAAGATCTCCTTGGGATTGAACATTATATAAAAGGTGGATGGAAAGGAGGTTATAATGACAGTAGGACAGATACTATACAAAATAAATTAAGAAGAATAGAGTATTTTGGCTGCTTGGTGCGAGTGACCAAATCACGTTGCTCAGAGTTTGTAGGCACCACAGGGATTATCATTAAGGAAACAAAGAATACTTTTGTAATGATATGTCCTGATGACAGAGTGAAAACTATCCCAAAGCTGCATAGTGAGTTTAGTTTTGTAATTCAAGATATTGGCTTTTCAATTTCAGGGAACCATCTTCATCAAAGATCAGTGGAAAGGGCTAAAAATAATTTCAAGAAATTGCAACTATGGTTGTAATCATTCCTATTGTTTCATCGTCATTATATATTACCAATAAATTGTGGTATTTCTGGAATAAAGTTTGAAGTATCAACTGTGTCTTTTTTCTTGTTGACAGTATTGAAGGATTTTTAGTTATCCTAGATAGAGATTGGAACATAAATCAGGAGATATCATGTTTTGTACAGAAGCGGTGAGATGTTATTGATATATTCTTTTAATATGTATATGCTTTTCATATGTTTATTTACAAAAAAAGGATGCAATGACTGATTTGTATTGAGCATATTTGCTTCAGAAATACTAGAGAAATATATGGAGAAATAAAATAAAAATAACTTCATAAAGTCGTTATCTTTTCAACATCAACATGTTAGTTGCTAATTATACAATATTGGATACATAAGAATGATATTTGCACTTGACTACTTATAGTTTGCTTCTCACATCACATACAACATTCATAGTAATATTTCTGCACATTGTAGTTACGTATGTCTATTGAACTAAGACTTTATAAACAGATCTGTGAAAGCAAGTGCCAAAGTTCTATTCACTTTTGGTGGTAAACGAAGAGTATTGGAAAATGCTGTAGCCGATTCCAATTCTTGTTGAGACTTAATTTGCCAAATTGGAACACTTGGTGGACGCAGATATTTGTATCTTGAGTAGGGCACTCCCACTAACCACACAGAACCTCCCCATGGCTGTGGGATTTCGAAACAGCCGTGATGATGGGACTGAGTGGAATAAGGCCAAGCACCAATACACTCTGCTAAAGTAGCCCATTCTGGTGAATCATTTGGTTCCTCCATGAAAAAGTAGAATACGAAATGTTTTGATTCGTGAGCACTGGGAGGATTTAGAAATCCTGGAGCACATGGATTCCTGGTGATAGGGATAGCACTCTCGAGACTAGACTTTACTCTCCTTTCGTACACGTTCTGGATAAGGTCTACTACCGGTGGCAGAGAAACCCGCTCACCACTATGCAATGGTTGGTCTAAAAAGTAGAGCTGGTGTATCTCGGGAACAGTGTTCACACCAACCCCATAATGGTACGAACGACTCAGTGCAGGAAAAATGCATTCACGTCCTCGACTCATTACACGGTATAGAAAATTGTCATACAATAGCGAAACGGAAGAGCTGGCCGGCCATTTCGCCACCATTGACCTTGCCTCTGTCATTGAGAATAAGTAGCCCCAACCAGGCTGCCTGAAGCCCCGAAGAAAAATTTGGGGGTCTGGAAATACATATCGGTGACCTGGTGCACTGCCAGACACACACCAAAGTGATGGGTCAGTATCCAGTGCTGGTGCAAAGTGCGATAACGTATAAAGCCAATCACGTGAGACCTCCACATCTTCGTCAAGGAAAGCGATATACTTTAAACTGGAAAATGTATTTATACCTGTTGACCAAGCTTTACGGTAAAATTGAAAGAGTCCATGGTTAACAGATGGAACTTCTCTTGGTATGTCTATTATTTTGTACTTAACCTGTAAAACCTCTAACAGTGAAATAACTGAACTGTTAGGACCATCATTGGAAGGATCTCGACCGACAATTACCAAGACATTAAACCGCAAGATCCCATCATTAGCAAGTAATTTTGATAATGTATTTGAAAGGTACTGTACTCTTCCTCCCGCACAAACAACTACACCGATTTTATGTGCGGTGTTGCTTCCAGGTACCGAAAACAGACGCTTCCCTGGCGATAGTGTTCTGTAGTCATGATTTTCGCAGAAGGAACCCATTGCTGCTTCGTGTTCGCAGAGATCGGAGTGTAAATTATGTTTCGAAATCACTGCAGATGAAGCGTCATGAAATGAAGCTTCAGTATATGCATGTGCATACAGTTCAGCAAAAGAATTACGCAGCCATTCATTGTTAGGGGCAATAGTTTCAACTATGGTTTGGCCTCCTGCAATAAACATCCACGCCCAGAGAGCGCGGGGAGGAGCATAGGAAATGAGCAAAGAACCAAGCCTTTCGAGTGTCTTAAGAGCTGCTCCTACTCCACGAGTGCCAGCGCGGTGCACAGTCATCACCACTAT